ATATATATATATATATATATATATATATATATATATATATATAATATATATAATATACGAAATATAATAACAATATAAGTTATAATGTAAACAATACAATATTCTTTTTTTTAAATATATTATTTAATATAAAAATATAAAATATAATACGTTATTTTATTAATTCTCTAGAAAGAAAAAAACCTGTGACTTAAACTGTGTATCTTTTCAGTAGATATAACTCATTAAATATTCTGAAGTATCCCATTAGATTGAAATAGAATGTCGTTTCTCCGAAACTTGAATTTAATGACTTAGTACTATCCATTAAATTTTTTCTTATCGTAGCTATTATCGTTCACATTACAACAGGAGATATTTTTGTGATAAATTTTTTATAGAAAATATTTTATGATAGAATTTCGTTATCAACGATCAATTTGCATAATTTTTCTATATCTGCGTTGAACTTGTAAAAATTATCACAAAGTGGTTTAAAATTTAGAAATGATTTCCTTCTGCGACAATACAGACGTCGATGCCTCAGAGACATTTACAAACTACTGTTTCTCGAATTTTGTCACATGAGGCAATAATTCAGTTTTTTAATGTTTTCTGCTTTGTTGTCCGCTTAACTCCTTTGGGTTTTTTCTTACGCGGATATCTTTAGAAGTTAATATATAAATGCTATTAATAACTTAAAAAACACTGGAAGATAGGATTATTGCCTCATATAATAAAATTCAAAATATAGAATTTTTTAATGCTCGATAGACTCTAAAACGTCGATGCTGTCGCAATCACTTTTAGCAATTTCGAGTAAGTTGTAAACAAATAAAACTATATGTATAAATTATAACATTTCCTATAATGATATAATATATAAATTATAAATATTTATTATTTGCTACACATACTGTATATAGATATAAATTATAAACAAAACATTTATTATAAATAAAAAGTATATAAATCATATGAAGGAAGAATTTAAATTTTTGCATTTATGTTTATATGATTTTTTAATGTCTTCTTTCTATCCTTAACAGAAGGAAAATACGGTCAAATTGGACCATTTATTTTATGATAGTTTAATTATAATCGGTAAAATAATTTAGTTTGTTAAGTTTAAGATTAATCATTTTTCATCTAAAAAAGCCAAAAATACCAGTGATAATAATGTTAAATACATTTGATTACAAAATCATTTAAATACATTTGTAGGAATGAAAAAATAATAAAAGTAAATATATTTGAACGAGATACTTATATTGTACATGATCGAAATATGATAGATTAAATGTAGGAAAAGAAAATTATTATTTATTAAAATACTAAAAATTTTTAACTCTCCTTTTTGTTTTCCGTGACACGAAATAGATATATTCGATAAATGTGGAACATTAAGTATATTTTAAATATATTTTTTATTAAATTATTTTATTAAATTAAATTTAAATGTCAAATAAATATAATGCTTATATTCTAGTGTGTATTATATATGTTTTGTATATAATTGTAAAAAATATTTAAATATCGGACAAACATAATTAAAAATTAATAAATGAACTATTTAAAAGATAATAAAGGAATTAGTGACTTACTTGGAATACTTTAAATTATGTAATAATTTGTAACTCCACATACTGGTTATTATATAATTTGGAATAAGCAAAATGAATTTAAGCAACTTATGCCATGTATAGAATGCAAGCAACTGATACTGACTCTCTTTTTCTTTCTAATAATGAAAGAAAGAAAGAGCAAATAGAAAAATATTTTAAAATAAGGAAAAATCATATTGAGCAATATATGTTAAGCATATAAATGAGAAACAATTGTTTTCTTCGCTAAAAATATACATATATATAGTACTTAATTTTCTAAAATATTTTATACTATTAAAAATAGAAATTATAAGTTAAAAGTAATTTTATTTTTCTGTGAAATACATAAAAAGAAAATAAACTATTTTTACTCGACAGATTTCTGGTGTTTGTTCTTATGTCAAGGACAACAGGTTACGAATTACGCTATAATTTTTATGATTATATAGTGTGAGACCGCTTATAAATATTCTCTGTGAATTTTTTTCAGATTCGTCTCTATTTCGTGGAAAGATGCGCAGATTCATATATAGTCGAAGGTTAGAAAGTAGCCTAAAGCCTTTTTCGTCTGGACTGGAAAGGTTGAAAGGTATAATTAAGTATTTCACGACTGTCTAACGTATTCTAAAATATATATTCTGGCAAAATAGTGTTACTCGTTTATCGAACGATTTTTGTAATCGCTAAATGTTTCTTAGAATTCTTTTAATCAATAAATAATAGAATTTCATAAGTTGTGTTTATTACTTTAAATTTAACATTGTTAAATTAAAAATAAGATAACAATTTCAATATTAAAATTACTATTGAAATCAAAATTTTGAAAAAAAAAATACATCGGATTTGTTAAAATAAAAATTATAATGATAAAAGTATGATATGTAAGATTACATGATATGTAAAATGCATATCATAGATTTTTATTTCAGTCAGCATAGATAAGAAATGATATAAAATTATAATAATTCTTGGTAATATGTATTAAATTATATTTTTTGAATTTAATTTATAAACATATAGAGCATAACGTCTTTTGGAAATAATAATAAACATAAATGAATTAATAATATTTATCATTTTATGTTATTATATATAAAAATAATAAAATACATGCATGCAAGTATATAATATTGTATATATAAATATATATTGAATATAATATAGTTGTATATATAA